TTAATGTATATCTTTTTCATCTATCTAGCACGTTTGCATATGAAAGTGTTTTAGATTCAACGAAAAATCCCGTTCCAGCTTTACTTCACAAAATCGAAGGTCATGTAGCCCGTGTAAACGATGTGATATTACTATCAAAAGAAGAAGGTGTGTGGACGTGCAGTGACGACCGATCCGTTAGGCTGTATCTGAAAAGAGACAATGGGCAGTTTTGGCCTTCTATCCACAAAATCATGCCAGTCGCACCTACTTGCCTTTACTATAGCGAAGAAACTTCTCGGTAAGTTTTTTTTTCAAAGATATTTCAGTATTTACGCGTCACGAAGCTGGATTCATTTTTGCCACCTTTTTCAGACTTCTCGTTGGCCTCCTCAATGGTCATGTATATGAATACCATGTAGCGGATGATTATAACTCGATGAGTGATCCAGAGGCAAGAAGGTAAGCCTTGTGCGTGTTTCCTTTACATCTGACTGTTACAGCATCTTAATAGCTTCATTAGTTTTCCATTTTTCTATTCTTTTTTCATCCAGTTTAGTTCGCAAAAAAACCCGATTGCTTGCTTACCTATCAAAATCTCTGTGTTATTTCTGGGTGTTATAACAGAATTAAACAGGTTTAAATTGATCCGAGTGTTTTTACGCCCTTTTTCGAAAATGAAGACATCATTACAACCTAATAACGTTTTAACGAAATGACTCAATGCACTTTTGAGGTGGACTATCCATGCTGGACCTATATCGGGCTTGGGAATAGCCTTGAATGCTGAGCTTGTGTTCAGTTGTTCAAAAGATAAGTCAGTAGTGTGGCACTGTTCCGAGACTGGGATTAAGCGTGGTAGAAATCTTTTTATTTTAATGAATATTGCTCGCCTGTCTAAATCGATCTTCTATGTGTCAGGTGCATTCCACTGTGATAGCAGTTGTACGGCAATGGCCATAGATTTGCCTTTTGTATTCATCGGTGATCATGGAGGAAATGTGGTTGTGCTTAGACTTAGCGGAGATACAGCCCAGATGGTTAGCAAATTGAGCGCTCATACAGGTTGTTTTGCCTGGATTTATATTGTTTGCCTATGTGTTAAACTAACTATGGAAGCCCTATTCTCAGGACCAGTTTCTTCCTTAGCATGGAATAGGGTCAAAGAAATTCTCTATTCTGGAAGCCATGACAATCTAGTAATTATGTGGGATATTGGTGGAAAGCGAGGTGAAGCCTATGAACTGAAGTGAGAGAATTATCTCCAATTCTGTTTGTCCCACAAGTTCTCCAAACGAATT